CTTCTTCTCTCTCCCACTTCTTTACCTTCTCTCTCCCTCTCTTCTCTTCCTTTCTTCATCATCTTCTCCCCTCCTCACATTTTGATCTCTCGCGCTCTCTCTCTTAATTTCGTCTCAGGTTGATTCAGCCTCGCAAGGTCGACGGCTACACCAGCGTCTTTGCTACCGAGGTTTGTGACCCTCCTCCCTCCTCCCTCCTCCCTCCTCCCTCCTCCCTCCTCCCTCCTCCCTCCTCCCTCCTCCCTCCTCCCTCCTCCCTCCTCCTCTCTCAATCTTTCACTGTACTCATCCTCCTCCCTCTCCTGCTCCCCTCCTCCCATTCCTCTTCCCTCACTCTCTCCCCCTCCCTTCCTCTCGTCTCACCCTTCATCGTTCAGGTTGTGCCGGGCGAGCCGGGCAAGAAGCCGGTCAAGATCAAGCTCGTGGACGCTAAGGTAGGAGGAGGTGACAAGTCTTGTGGTGGGGTGACGGGAGGACGCAGACCAAGGAGGAGATTCCCGACTCTCCTCTCTACGTGGACGCTGCTCTCGTGTGCACAGGTGACAGGAGGAGGAGAGGGGAGGGTGTGGAGAGGCATGGAAGAGGAGGAGAAAGAGCGGGCAGGAGTTGGTTTGAGGAGGAAATGGAGGAGGAGGAGGAGGAGGAGGCTGATGACGAGTCAGGTCGTGTCCCCAACACGAAGACCCTGGGGCTTGAGAACATGGGGATCGAGACAGTTCGCGGGTTTGTGCAGGTGAACGAGAAGATGCAGGTGCTGAACAAGGAGGGAGGAAGCGTCATCCCCAACCTCTACTGCATCGGCGATGCCAATGGCAAGATGATGTTGGCACATGCTGCGTCTGCTCAAGGAATCTCTGCCGTCGAGAACATCTGCGGGCATCCGCACGCAGTCGACCACAACGCCATCCCCGCCGCTTGCTTCACCCACCCTGAGATCGCCATGGTCGGCCTCACCGAGGAGCAGGCGAAGAAGAAGGCTGAGGTGAGGGAGAGGCGTGTGGGAAGAAGGCGGGGGGGGGGGAGCGAAGAGAGGAGAGGAGAGAAAGGAAGAGGAGCGGGAGAAGTTTGAGATCTTATGACCAGGCTGAGGGCTTCACTCTCGGCAAGTCTACCGGCAGCTTCCGCGCCAACTCCAAGGCCCTGGCTGAGCTCGAGGGAACGGTGAGTGAGGATGAAGAGGAGCAGGAGCAGGAGCAGGAGCAGGAGCAGGAGCAGGAGCAGGAGCAGGAGTAGGAGCAGGAGCTCGTCTGACGGAGCGAGCAGGGCATGGCCAAGTGCTTGTTCAACAAGGATACCGGCAAGGTGCTGGGAGTTCACATCATCGGCATCCACGCGTCCGACCTCATCCAAGAGTGCGCCAACGCCATCGCTGCCGGAACCACCGTGCAGGAGCTGTCGATGATGGTGA